TTCTTTACAGTCTTTATCATGTTTCACAATAGATGTTTTCCCTAGGAATATGAGTATAGTGGCTCTTAGATTTTGAGACTGATTTTAGTTTTGGCACTTACATGGCACATACTACTGGCAGCCATTTGGAGCAGGCGGAAAGTCCCATATACGCACCTCAATCTCTGAAAAAATCCTTCCTTGGCTTCAGTTCTCCCTTTAATAAGAACTGAATGTCTCAAGAGTGATGTCCCTGCAGCCCTTTTTGCCTTGGTAGCCCCTCTCGGGGGTTTGCTACAGCCCTGTGCTGCTTGCGAGCCACGTCTGGTGCAGTGACAGGAGGAGACTTTGCCAGCCCTTCTCTTCAGCAGCTAAAGCAGAAAGCCTTGAGCACTTCCTGGCACTAGGCAATTCCTTGGAGCACTTACACACATGTGAGAACTCTACTCGGAACTGCAGGGAAGACCCAGGTGACCGACTCTGTCAGGCACTCAGTTGGGAGATGCAGTGGGCTAGGGAGAAGCGACTGTAGCACCCCAAGAAGGTTATCCCTACATATTGCCCTACAAACAAGTGAGCTTCAAAGACAGCACTCCTGAGCATCGTGCCCAGACCAGGTTTGTCCAGAGGTCACGTTGCAGCCGCTGCAGCTCAGAGAGACTAGTTTTGATATCAATTCAAAATGAATATAACCAGGCCATCTAGGGCCTGCAGAAATTCTTTAATCTACCTCCATAGCAAAGCATTTGTATGAGATAATCTACGAATTTGTCGTAAAGCAGCAGGATATGCATTCTGGGGATAAGGCATGTGAGGGAGAACAAGACTGAGTGCATTTTCTGTATCAGGATTAACAAAAAACTGCGCATATGATTTGAACAAGCCTTGAGAACACAGTACCACACCAAGTACAAAAAACAGCAAGATAGTTACTTTAAGAAAACAATAAAATGATACTTACTCATGTAGGAATATGAGAGAGGTCATTTCTGCATATGCAGTTCTGAAGTAAGGATTAAGTGCAGCTTGTTCCATTGCTCCTTTACATACTCTCTACAGAACATCTCTGCAAATCTGTTGTGCAAAATACTCTGCAAATAACACATCCGTAGGATCAACAGAATGTAGTATAAGCTGAAGGAAATGGGTGTTGCATCCAAATTATAACCGGTCCTTAAAAGTGGGATACCAGAACAAAATTACAATGAAATGATGCATAGGTGTATAGCAATGCAAGACACCATTAGTAAATTCTGCGAAATCAGTTAGCAAGTAAGGCACCTGCCAGACTAGGTTGCTTAACTGCTCCCTTGCACAGAACATAACAACTCTGCCTATGCTATCAAACATGAGAAGCTGCAATAGTTTCTTACACAGTCCTGCTCAAGTACTTACTCAAGTACTGCCATAAAGTCACCACTAGTCTGATATCCAGAGAGCATGGCCAGTGAAGACCTATCAAGTTGGTTTTGCACCGTTTGGTTCCCTGGGACAATCCTGTGTTGGTAAGTTTGGGAGTAGCTTTACAGCTACTTAACAAAATTTACATCCCAAACAAATTACTTTCAAACAATTTTCAAGATGGAACTACCAGATAACATATCTAGTGTTATATTAGCACATCTGAATTCTACATATACCCCTGTCCTAGGTCATTAAGTAACCTACTCTACAAAAGTAACGATAAATTAGAAAAAAAAATGGATACAGTCATGACTTCAGTAACTACACTACTTGTGTTGTCTGTTGGCTTATACTCTTCAGCATGCTTCTCCATTGCTTCTCAAAGAGAAAAGGACCCTACCAAAGAATGGCCCTGAACTTTACCAGCATCAAAAGTTGGCCTTCAAATAAGCTAAGAGAATGAAATGGCAGGTACATCTGCCTGAACACAGAGTAAGGAGCTGGCAACCCTGGGAGCCTGTGGTAGGTGAAGAGGTACAGATTTTGAAAGTGAGAAGAAAAAATGAATTCACTTATGTGACTTGCAGGAAATCCTCAGTATAAGTAATTCCACCAAAAGCATTAAGCATCTTCAGGGAGCTCTTCCCCCATTTCTATCCAGCACTCCTGTGGCTGCCCATGTCTTCAGTCAAGATGAAAGCAGTGAAAGCAGACTCCAACTTTTCAACTAACAGGGGGTGAGGAAGCAAGTATTTACAGTCCTGCTCACCCAGACCCTTGATTTTCTGATACAAACTGTGAATAAATACGTGCTCCTAGTTACTCCTCAGGAAAAGATACCTGAATATTGAAAGACAAATGGCATAAGATATGTCAATTTGATGCAATGAAAAAAAAAGTATATGCAGCCACATACTTATACTTTATACACAGACCAAGACATTAACTGAGAATAAAAATGGTCTATGAGGATTAAATAACCAAATAACCCACATAAATTACCTAGATATCTTTGCAGACACTCTTTAATAGTTCAATTTCTAGTGGCTAACAGGCTTAAAGCAAAGTTACCAAAGTAGCCACAGGTGCCAGGAAGGCTGTCTAATACCCAACCATGTCAACATGAGCTCAATGTTTTAAAATTATTTGCTCTTTTGCTTTGTCTTTGGTATTAAGGAAGGTCTTTGGTATTAATTAAGGAAGTTGAAGAGTGTAAGGTTTAGCAGCTAATACTTATTAGTTGCAAAACCTTACACTTTAACGTCATTAATTCATAGCAGAACCTGTGACTGCTACACTCTAAGTGCTAAAAATTTACCAAATAAAATACTCAGTTGTGTGAATTACCTGAACTGGCTCATTAATTAGACCAATGTTTGCTGATTGGAGTTTGAAGTCCTTTTCAAAAAGGACATTATTTTAAAGTGACTAAGATGTCTAGGAACAGAAATTAAATATCTATGTTTTTCTATGAAGTCAAAGTAACTTAACAGACCTATACGGAAGTGGAGAAAAAAAAATGCACCAAGCCCTGCCATCCCCCCAACATATACTAAGGAAACTGTTGGATTTTTCCAGAAAGACTTGTGAGCACTTTCTGGCCACTGCCACCACCTTAGTGACTCCCACATCTGGGCAGTGACACAATGCAGACATTCGTGTCTGCATTCCAGACATCATAGAGTAGAGTCTCCCTTGTTGCTTTCATCAAGTTTATTTTGCCTCAAGAACACCATCAAGTCAATTTTCCCACCCAGGGGAATAATCTGAAATACTAAACAAGTAAGGCTCCTAATTCTGAGCTCAGAGACATTGCTTTGACAGTCATGAGGCTAGTCCCCAGCAGGGCTGCAAGGGAAATGAGGCACCTTTTTCATACCTGGTATTTGGACGAGAAGGTAACCGGACAGCGTGGCAGGATTTAAAAGCAGAACTAAGCAGCATCACAAACAGGTGCTCCAGCAGCCTTATCAAGAACTCACAACAAACAGTAGATTGGATTTTAGCTTAATTATTACCAAAGATGAACTTAGGATCAGGCAGATAGCATTTTAATATTTTAACAAAGATTGTAGAAACATGAGCCCTCCATAAAAGGAAACTCGAGCAGCTAAGGATGTAGAAATGATTAGATAAATCAATCCAGGTCTCAGCCTCCAAGATACCAGTGCAGTTAGATACCAAATACAGACGTCTAAGAAAGCTTGAAAAGTCATAAAAATGGTGGGCTTTAAAGAATGAGAATACAATATCTACCTTTCTTTCTGTAGCTCAAGACTACAAAGACTTCGGCAATATAATCTATTAAGAAATAAACCTGTATAGGATTCAGCAAGACCAGCACAGCCAAACTCAGCCAGCTGGGAACAAAGCTGAGCAAGATGTGCTGCTTAGGCACTACAGGAAGGGGATGCATCCTGATTTTTTGCATCAGTGTGAGGAAAACGGCATTTGAAGCCTGTAAGCAAAAAACACACAACCTGCCAAATCAGTGTTTGACATAGATGTCCATCACAGGACTAATAAGAGTGGTAGAGACCGATTCTTTAAACATGCTGAAGTGATTTTTTCAAGAAACACCAAGCAGATTTTCATACGATACTTCCACAGATTTTAATATATATGAAAACAGACATTTCAATTCATTGGAAACAGGTTTTTTTTTAATTTTACCATAAAAAGGCAAAATAAACTCTTTCGCTATAATGTTATAGATTTTAATATTCCTGAGCTGCATTTTAGAAGCAAAAGTATTTTTAAATGGATTTAACAAGACATACTGCAGCCTTACTTTCCAATACCCCAAGTAAAAATAATTTAGCAAGAAGGCCCCTTTCAAAAGGTAATTGCTAGCTTTGTATGTACCTGTGACTCTCTGCCATCTGAAGTAATTAGAAAGCCAAATATGTCAAGAAAATAACAGAATAACTTTTCAACCATTTTACCACTACTTTCATACATCACGTGGCTTTCTTGCATGGAAATAATTATTATATAAATGGCATTACATTCCAGAATAATCTGGGCCACAAAGTTTGGCATCATACAGATAAATGAAAGAATTGTATCAGTTTAAAAGATATCCTCTGCATCTTTATAGTCAATTTTAAGAACTACACAAAAGTACAGCTCACGAGCTCAATCAGCAAAACCTCTACTTTGTTGCATGTGATTTCCTTGAGTGCACCAGAAAGCATTTTATGTTAAACCTGTGTGTATGTAATAGCTTGTCATGCTTGGAGTTCCAAAACTGCCACCATGTACCTCCTGATTCCAATTAGGTGATGAAGAGATGAAAAGCTAAATGAACTAAAGAAAAAGATTTTTAAAATTGAAAATGAAGAAAACAGGTCAGCTTTTAGCTCTACAGGAACTCAATCAAGCACAGATAGCTATACCTACATTATGGGAAAAAAAAAAAAAAAAGAAAGAGACAAGAAAGCACAACGAATCTTCAACAGAATCAGGCATCTATTTTCTTGGTGTCAGGAACTAGATGCAGGTTAGACGCAGGTTGAAACAAATGTTTTCTATAGTAGTCACACCAATGAGGTCTGGTTTACATCTTTCTGGCCCTTAAGTCCAACCACAGCCTTTCCAAGCAGCTGAGGCCTTTACTACCCGCTCCAGGGCCTCCTTTGCTCACCCAGCGATCAACTCCGGTATCTGCGTTTCTTGCTCACGCTTCGGCGACTGCGACTCCTCTCCCTCCTGTCCCTTCTGCGCTCCCTGCTGCGAGATCTCCTGTAACGGGAACGCCTCGGGCTTACGCTTCGGCGGCGAGGGCTATAGCTTCGGCGAGGGCTGTAACTTCTGCTAGAGTGTCTATAACACCTCCTTTCTTTCCTGCGCTTTTCATCCTGATAACTTGCGTCTCTTCTGTGCCTGCTCCTCTCTCTTCTACCCTTACTGTCATCAGTGTTCACGCTGCTACACGAACGGCTCTTTCTCCTCCGTGACTCTGTGCTCCGTTTGCCCTGCTCACAGCGCGAGTCCTTCCTGCAGGGTTTCTGGTTGTAGCCAGAGACGCTCTAAAAGAACACACGAGAGCACTCCTGAACTTCGTTTCTCCGAACACCTCTCAGACTCCGTGGTGTGAAGTTTCTGGCCTTCTTTGACATGACCTCTGTCATCAACATCGCCATTCAAGTACTTGCATTGAGTATTTACACCCTCAGGGGATGCTGCTTTTCTCTGACAGCCTGGAGCTGGCTTCCCTTCAACAGTTTGTCCCGAGGTAGAAGTGATGCAGCTGGACGACACAGTGTGGGGAACAGCACCAGCAGTTTTTAGCATACCAGACTGAGATGCTTCCGTTTCCTCTTTGTTTTGAAGAGCTGCATCCATTTTCTTGCTCAGAAGATTGTTTAGCAGTTTCTCTCTCAGTTCCTTTTCTTTTCTCTGCAGTCCCAGTGCTCTCTCTTTTTCCTCTTCCACACGTCTAAGCTCAGCCTCCTGTAGTTTTCGTCTCTCCTCCAACTCCTGAAGACGGATCTTTTCTTCATTTTGTTCCTGCTCCAAGAGCTTTACTGTCTGAAAGACAATCAAAAGGAAAGTCAGAGTAAATAAGCCTTTGTAAACCTACTGTTTCTTCCACAGTTGCACCAGCAGTAATCTGTCAAGAAAAGAAAATCCTACATAAAACACCTAAGACTCGAAATAAAATAATCTCCTTCCTCTCCAAGAAAAAAAAAAAAGAACACTCTAACATAAAAAAGCTGTAAGATGAAACATTAATTCACAATGTCTTTTAAGTGTTAAATTCTCTCACGGTTTCACAATACAAAGATTAGGAGCCGTAAGTTTTATCTGACAAGTATAACAGATAAGCTGGAAAACATGTCAGTGAAGTACTGAAACACATTTCTCCGGGTCAACACTTTTAAATTTAAGATTTTTTTTAGTCAAATTTTGACCATTATATTCTCTTAAAGCTCAGCAATCTGGGATTCACAGACTACTTTACAGTGTGATCTTAGAAAGTAAAAATTCAACACATACATATCGTACAGAAATTGGTTCTCATTTTGTTAACCACTTTAGAAAGTCACGATACTAAAAAAAAAAAAAAAAAAATTTAATCTGCCCCTGTAAAACTGGCTCAGTGCAATATTAATATTAATGTGTTGATAAAAGACACGACTGCTTTATCAAACAGTTTTCTTTTGCAGCTGGAAAGTTACAACAGCTGCAGAGTATTTCTGCCCTCTCCCTGCGTATAACCAAGCATACAGCACCATGAGCTTGAATTTGAAACTATTTCTGAGATACACTGGCATGCAGGATTGATTCTCAATAAAAATTAAAGCTGAGGCTTTGAAGGGTAATTCAGAAGTCTGTGAGAGCAAGCAATATAGCTATCTTTTGCTACCACCTTTCACATTACTACCAAAAATACCTGACACGCATTACACTACCTCAATATGACTTGGAAGTCATAATCAAATTATTCTGTTCTAGTGAAAACTAACAGTAGTTCCAGTAGAGAAAAAGGATTGTAACATTCAAAGTCTTAGCTGGAAGTATTTTTTGTAGAGAAAAGCATGTTTGCATATTTTGAAGCATCAACTAATGAAACTTCATTCTACTTGGAAAGAGTAGTTAATGGAACTGCTGAAGGCCACAAGGAAAACAGTATCAAAACGTATATTGCAAGTTTCATATCTTACCCTCTGTGCTTAATTCACTTTACTATGTTTATACATTCTTATTCTGGTCTTAAGAACAAGCCTGATAATTAGGTTACATGCTGAAAAATATTATTCAGGACAATAGGTTCAAATTCACTCTTCACTTGCTGTACTTGTGCATCTTTTACAAATGGAGAAATACTGTTTTATTGTAGAGTTTTTAATTTGTGGTCTAAGGAATAGCAACTGGAAGGTACTAAATCTGCTCTCTAATAAATAGCACTCTCCCTGCTCCTCCCCCAAGTCAGTAAAGGCTTTGTTCTGGGGGGTTCTTCATTAGCTTCTGAAATAGATATTGAAGTTACCTTTGCCCTGCTTAGCAGTTCTGCAATTAGTCTAATGGACTGCAGATTTCTCTGAGCTAACAGGAGCTTCCTTTCTTCTAGCTTGATCTTCTCCTGCAGTTTTTTCTGCTCTTCAGCTTGTATTTTTTCAAGTTGTTTTTTGTTTCTTCTAACTTCACGATCTTTCTGTTTCTGCTCTCTCTTGCGCAACTTTTCTTCTCTTTTTTTCTCTTTCTCATACTCTTCAAGCTCTCTTTGCTTCCTAAAAAAAAGGAAGAGATTCATATTTTTACTTTTTAACAGCTACACATGATGTTGAAATAAATATTGTCAGCCTGACAACACTTAAAAAGAAGTTATAACCCAAACATGAAACATGGCTAAAAAAAAAAAAAAAAAACCAACACAACACCCTTTTTTTATCTCCAGCCAATTAGACCACAGTGACGAATTGGGAATCAATCATCAAGGGGATAATTAAAAACAAAGTTAACTAACAGGTGGGGTACTGTTTATTTCAGTCAGCAAGACAAATGGAGAGCTTAAGCAGAAGAGCAGGTTTTTTAAGATCAAGGGTAGAATGATACAAGTCCTAATAATATTCAGTCCTAATAATAATGTAGTTGAAGCTTTCTAACTGAACATAAGTCTAGTGATAATCTAAATAATATTATTGAGAAAATAATTTTGCTTCAATAAGAAGGTTAACATCACATTTTCTAAAAATGTTTAATATTTAAACCTAAGCAACGAGAATTTGTTTCAGAGGCTGTATGGGGTCCGGTTGCCCTGATCTGTACAATTTGCTCCGTTCAAATTTAGGTTCTGAGCATCTGTCTTACAACATCTGCACATTCACATATACTTTCTTAAAGTAACAAGTGCTTATATGCCATTGCTCTCCTAGAAAAACATCAATGTCGCCAGCAAATAGGCTTTATAAAAAGACCAGTCTAGTAAGTTACTTACTAGTGGAACTAGTGCATCATTTTCTACTTTCCATTTACAATGCATATTTTCTTCAGAACTATCTATTACGTAATCTTCCAGCTCTTGGAATTTCATCTACACACACATAAAAAGTTTTTTAAAAAATTCTTGTTTACAATTTGCTTATGTCTAAGTCTGGTAAACCCTGAAGTATTTTCATCAAAAGGATCGCACTGTTCTCACTCAGTTAAATGCCTCACTTCAGCAACTGTTGCAGAACTGAGCTTAGGGATACAGCAGCTTCCAAGCAGTGAAGCTTTCAACCACTGCAGTGTATAGTCTTGCAGCCTCAGAAATCCAGCACCATCCAAGGCTGGAACTGGACTCCTCTCATCCACACACTTAGCCCCTCCAGGTGAGGCAGGAACAGTTAATGGGACAACGCATGGAAGTTTGTGCTGCTGCTACCCGCACAGAACTTTCCGACGTATAAAAGATTTCAGCCTTAAGAGCTGCTAGCGTTACTGAACTCACTTCAAAAAAAGAAAATTGAATTAATCTATTATAAACATATCCTATTTTGCAGAAGTAATATGCTTGTAAGACTTGCATCACCAGGACAGTTAAGTTTGTTTTCTGTAACTTGTCAGTAGCTAAGCCATATTTGCACATGAATTAGCAAAGTACCACAGTCACTAGTCAATAAAAATCCCCATAAACCTTTGATTTTTTAATGTGACCCAGAAGCAAGCAGCAATCTCATGATCTATTTGTCACATGGCAAGAATGTAGATTATGACTTATGAGCTTCTCTCTTGGATATAGTGAAAAAGTGACATTCTGATTTTTCTGAGGAAATGAACAATTGTCTTCTCCCCACCCCTCCCCTCCTTTTTCTCTGCTTCCTGCATAAATGGCGATATAAAAATGCAGATATTAGCCAGTACCTTTAATAAGACAAACTAAATGAGTTTTAAAACTGTTCGTAAATATATTTTCCAAAATTACTCGTTTTACTCTAACACTCAAAAGGCCACTAGGACAATGAGTCACTTTGCATGTAACTACTAGAAAACACAGAAAACAAGTCCACAGCTATTAGATACAAGTGTAGTTGTAAGAAAATATGTGCAAGAGATAACAAGAAATTTTTGAGAATTAAAAGCCTGACTTTTGATATTAAGTTTCATTAAAAGGTATTTCTGAATCAGAGAACAGATGACTTGGACTTTCTCTTTACTATACTGAAATTATACTTTTTTAAATTAAATATATTTTCTACTAGGACAAGCAAGATAAAAGGATCTATCCTCAAAGATGACTGTGATTTTCACTTATTAAAGAAAATTGTGAAAAGTTAATTGTGAACACTTGCTTATCTCACTGGTTCCAGATCTGCAATATTTTCATTTCACCTAACACTAGACTACTACTATCTATTAACTCAAATTAATACTGTCATCTTTATTTGCTTCCTATAATTAGTTTTGTAACATGGGCTTTCAGAAAACTTTAAAGATGACAACTTCCTTTGAAAAGAAAAGTTTCATACTACGAAGTCCATCCTTATGTATTCACGGCATCATTAAGAAAGCATGCTTTATTACAAAAAAAACCTTCAAATAGTAGTAAGCAACAATTACCTTTCTTCTTCCTTCTGTTTTTCCTCAGCTTCTTTCTCTCTACGTTTTTGCTCTTCTCTCTGTTTTTCAAGCTCTTGAAGCTTTTGCCTTTCAAGCTGGCGCTTCTTGATTGATGCGTCACTCAGGTGTTTTGTTGAATCAAAAGAAACCTTTATAGAGCAAAATTCAAACCCATGTTTAGTTGACAAAAACAAACAAACAAAAATAAAAGCATTACAATGACCATATCTTTATCTAGTAGAAAGGTATCCAAGCCACAGGACAGGACACTGTACCATCAGAAATAGAAGCTGGGCCTTCCAGAACCTAAGGGTGCTCCTTGGCCCAGTTTGGCCACACACTGGACCACAGCACCCAGCTCACTCCCTGTGTCCTGGTTCCCCATACTAGATATAGATACCACCTACGTGCAGGCAGGCAGGGATCCATAGGCCCACAGGACCCAAATCAGTAGAAGATATGAACTACAGGCTGCAGCACTGGGAGTACATCCTCCACAGTTTAATTAGCTCAGACTGTACCTTAAAGGGTGTTCCACTAACAGGCAAAAGGACCAACAGAGAGAGCAGAGTTGAAGGGTCACACAGCGCTGTATCCTTGTATGAAGGAAATCTGTCCGGACAGTGTTGTCACGAACATTTCCCTCTCCCTCATATCAATTCCCAAGGCAGCTGCCATGAAGACATTCCTCCTCCTGCACAGGCAAACTCAACTGGGGAACCCTGATCCAGTGCATGCAAATGACAGTCACATCCTCTTGAAAGTAAGAAAGTTGAGGTCTAAAGATTTTCTATGCTCCAAGTGACAAGCTTTGTATCAAGATAAAAGATTATACTATCTTCTTACACTTAATAATACTAAATTTATAATTTTATATAATGCTATAATAATGTAAAACTTAATATAAAAAGTATTTACATGTCAACATATTACAAAAAAAAAAAAAAAAGTCAAGCTTTTTCCTGAAAAACATTTCCTGATTTCTGATTTGATGAATGACTACTAAGCCCCCTGAAACAAGTAAGCAAACATTTCACTCAACTGATACGTAACTGGGTGGACAATCTCCAAGCATGTGAGAGCAAGTCTTCTTTAGGCCATACTTTCATAGACATTACATCAGAAGAGACCGTGTTGTCCTCTCCTGTCATAGTTCTGCTTTCTAAGACAATGGGATTACATAAAAAAAGAGAAGATCTGGAGACCTATGTATATAAGTATTATGAATTCAACATACTGGACTCACAGGAAACTGCTACACTTCAACATGTGATTTTTTTTTTCTTTTCTTCACAAGAAGCAGAGTGATCATGATTAATGGTGTCTCCCAGAGGTCTTAAGACACCACAGGCTATTAAATGTGAGGATGTTGACATGTGTCTGGTAGACCCCAATTCCAACGCAGAAGGCTGTGATTTTCTCCCCCAGAGCTTCCACTTGTGGTGTGCACAAGAGAAAAACTCAAGCCAGTCAGCCTTTTAGCAAAACAAGCCTGAACTTGTTCAGAATTAAAGCTTTTTAGTGAAATGACAATACTGACAGGTACGTATTCGTTTTCAAAAAACACTAATCATGTAGTTTAATAAGTCACATTCATATATTTGGTCCCCTCACTGAGCAAAACTCTCCCATAAGAACGACAACAAAAAAAAATCCCAACCCACTCATTTTATGTCTAACAGAACATATTTTTCTTTCTTCTATCTCCTTTTAGCATTTTATTATGGCTGTTTCACGGGACCTGAGCTGTACTTGTTCTTTAACATGGGTTACCACGTAAGAGCCTGCAGTTCTCACCTTTATATTGCAAGCTACTGCTTTGCCATCGTCGCCTTTGTACATCAGCTTCATCCCTCGCAGGGCGTTCATGGCCTTAATGAAACCCGCGTACTCCCGGTACTGAACGTAAGCCTCAAAGTTTAAGTGGCCTCCAAAACTGAACGTGTGGAAATTTCTGCCAGTCATTTCTTCTCTATAAGGGTCCAGCATAGGTATGTCCACATTACGTATCTCTCCGAATTTGCTGAAGACTTTTATAAGAATTTCTTCGTTGGGCTTTTCTGAGCCAGAATCCTTCGCTGCAAACCACTTGCAAGGTAAGCCCTCCAAGTGAATAGTATCTGGTCTTTCCCCTGGCAAAGTCTCATTCATATCTTTTGCATCACGAAAGAACGAGTCCCAGTCATGTCTGGTAGGAAAGTCAATCTTATACTCTGCTGCACGCACTTTTAAAATATCAGAGAAACCACTCAGTTTTATTGTTTTGCCATCAAGGCACGCCAGAAAAGACTTCACCAAACTTTTGTTTTCTACCTCCCCTTCAAAGCGGATGAAATCCATCGTGCTTTTAGAAATCCGCAGAGTGGAAAACTGGTGCGTTTGCACCATCCCTTTCAGCCTTTCCATCACTTCCCAGTTCGAAATGGATTTTCCTGGTTGTTTCAGCTGAGGAAGTGCCACGCTGATGGTCATTTTTGTAATGGGCTTGAGGTACAACCCACACGGAGCACACAGCTCAACAGCTTCTGACGTATCATGAACTATCGTTGCAGCAGCCATAACAGAGAAAAAGCATAGGGTCAAAAGAATAAAAATGTAAAATTTAAGTTGCAAGCCGTAAAGTGACAAATAAAACAGCATTCATCCATAAAGAACTAAATTCCCTGGACACTTAACCATTACCAAGTAAAAGCAATGCCTCCTGAAATAAAAGTCAATCAGCGAGTTAAAACTGGGGAGCAGGAACATCTTATGTTACTTTATAACCATCTGAGCCAATGAATAATCAAATATCACTAGGGCCTCAGGAAAAACAAAGCAATAAAAGACCCCAGAAGCTGATGAATCTAGGAACGCATGGGGCTGGCAGGCGCCGGCTCAGAAGCAGCTCCCTCTTTGCAGGAGGCAGACGCGGCAGGGTCGATGTCACACGGCCTTGCAGCCCGCCCAGACCCGCGGGCTCTCGGTGCTCCGCACAGTACAGGGACTCGCCAGGCACCTGCAGGGAGAGAAGGCACCGCTTATTCCTGCCTATTCCTCCTTATTCCAGATTATTTGACAGGCCCCGCTGTGCCGGGAGGCTGGGGGCCCTCCAGGCCTCGCTGAGCGTCGTCGGGAGCCACCGAGCAACCCGGCTGCGCAACCGACCGGCCGCGCAGGGGCCGCCTCCCTCGCCGCTTTCCGGGGCCTGCGGAGGCCGCGGGGCCCCCCCG